TCACACTCTGGGCAGAAAATGTTGCCCGTCTTGGATTAGGTATTTAGATTACCGACCTTTATTTCTTGCCTTCATCCATCTGAACATTGTGACAGGCACAGAAGGTACCTTCTGGTATTTATTTTGAGGGAAAAGTACTCAAAAACAGTTGGTCTCATCCACCGTGAACTGATCTCCACTTGAGTGCCATCATCATTACCCAGAAGGACCTTTACACTTTCTTTTTTGTTATCAGGTGATTTCCAAGTCTTAGGGGGAAATTTGGCTCTCTCCACAGTGATGACCAGTAGAAATAGACAAAGACAAATTGCATTAGTGTTCACAGAAGATCTACAGGAATGCATGAAAGCTTAAAATCCTAGAAGCGTCCACATAAAATCCATATTCCTGTGCTAAAACATGGGTCCTGGCTGGCTTTCACCGTTTCCTTAAGAGATAAACTAAAAAAGTGATATTAACAATGAACTGGAGAATAACGTATTCACCACAATTATTGATAAAACTAAAACACTCATTTGTTTTTCCTTAAAAGAGCATCCAGTGCTTTATGTTCATTTTCACAATGATGTATGACTGCCCTTCTGTCAACAGACTATCTACAATTTTGTGACTAGTAGAAATGACTTCCCTTCTCCCCTTTAAACCTCAAATACAAAACTAGAGGCAGCTCCTGGTTCCTCTCCCATATCCCAACACCTATGACAGCAGTAGGAGGAACCAAGGCTCCCACTCCACTGATCCTCAACACAGCAGGGGTCCCCTGGGCTGTCCATGTACACTGATGTCCCCATGTCCACTGGTGCTGATGAGCAGATGCAGCAAGAGAGTCCTGTGTTCTGTTTGTCACTCCATCCCAACCATCCTCAGCACTGTGTGCTCTTCTCCTCTGGTTGTCTTCATGGAAATCAGGAAATTCTGGAAATTGAATACCTAATGGAAAGTACTGAGCCAGCCTCAGCTCTCAGGGGCAGTTCTGGGAATGCTCAGACCCCTTGGTGAGGCTACTCACCAAGATACTGCCAGATGGACCCGCCAGTCCCTCAGGTGGCAATCCCATAAGCTTGGAGGTGCTTTCCTACCAGGTGGCCCTGATCCCATCACCTAGCCCTTCTCTCCAATGCCCAGAGAATCACACAGGGGAGAGGCTTCGGTCCTCTCAGCACCCAGAGTTTCGAGACCCCTGTGCCAGGGAGGTGGTGCTGAGGCTTGTCAGTGCCCAGATGGGAGTGGGAGGTTTGCCAAGGAAGAGGCAGTGAGAGCAGGAGGTGGAGCTAGGGAGTTCGCCACAAAGGTTAATCCTTGATGAGAGATGGGGTGGTCTCTACCTTCTGCCTAGGGAGGGACTCTGAACAGAAGCCTCTACTCTAGAGGCAATGTCTTCAAGGATGAAATAAAAAGCCAGACCAGATATCTGACCATGGCTGTAACAGATGCTTAATAAACATTCATTAAATGGATGAGGGAAACCATACAACAGAAGCCTGTCACTCTCATGTGACACTAGAGCATCAGAGCATGTTCCATGTAGACACAGAGGCACTGATATCAGCATGGAATGAGGCCAGCAAGTGCCCATGGCTGTCCCAGAGATAGACCTTTACCCCTTGTAGAGTCAGAAGGGAGATTAGGGGCCTCCCAATAGTGAGGGGTTGGATCCCAATTTGTCCTAGAAAATCACACCTCTACCTTGTGAGTGACTTCTCTCACCACAGGGTCTGGGCTGGCAGCCTGTGTCCTTCCCCTTCTAACAGACACCTGCCCTGACACAAACTCTGCAAACTCTACCCCAAGTAAAGTTACCACTAGAAGAGGTCATAATCCTGTCTTGATCATAAAGGAACTCAGGGGTGACTCCCTGTCCCCAGGGTACCTGGTCTGTGGGGCCACCTGCCTGTGGTCCCCTGAAGACATGTCACTAGCCCAAGGTGTCCAAGGTAACAAGGAGAATTTACCATTTAGGATAGGACAGGAAATGCAAGATGTGTTTGCTTTCATCTCAGAGGGGCTGAGGTCCCACAGAGCAGATGACAGACAGGGACAAAATGACTTAGATGCAATGTCCAAATGCTTTAATGGGTAAAATACAGGCCCTTCTAGGGACCATCCCTCCAGACCTTGAGACTACCTAGGGTGCATTGATAACTCAAAAGACAAGTCTCTGGGCCCTTCCTTTGAAACCTTGGAGTCAGAGAGCTCCTCCTGAGACAGCACATCCACTAATCAGTAGAGGACACTGGGTCAGGAGTTCACTGGACAATGTCTGCCCTCTCTCTGGGATCATCTTGCACTGGGATAGAGTAGGGAAGCCTGGAGATCTTCAGTGACAAGGACACAGACTGTTGGGACACTGCAGTCTGGAGGCCAGAGCCCACCTCTGTCCAGGGCTCAGAGCCAGCTCACACCCACTAGAGCCTGGTCAGCATCCCTGATGCAGCACCTGACACTGACTGTAGGTCTCCTCCTGCCCTCCAGGGGGTGACATCAGGACACGCAAACAACACACAGGAAATTAATACATCACGTGGCTTTGGCTAAGGAGGTGGATAAGGAAACTGATTTCCATCCCTTGGTCCAACAGATCCTTCTGGGCCCCTCATATGTGCCTGCTCTGCCCTACCTGCCCCTTCTAAGGGCCTCAGAGCACCCTGCTCTGTCAGGCATCCCTGTGCAGCTGCCTATTCCCACCTGGCCCAACCACGGGGAAGGTGGGTGACCACAAGAAACTCAGCCTGGCAAGGGACTGAGGCTCCCAGGATGTTCAGGGAGGCCATAGAAAGTCTCTGAAGCACACCTCAGCCATCACACATGGAAAGGGAGGGTCTCCCTGAAACATTGCCCCCAGGACCAGGAAGCCCACTGTTCCCTGACCTCCCACTACCATGGACTCTCCCCCAGGAGACACTGGAAACCTCACCCTTCACACCTTGGACTGAAGCTCCATCTGAGACACCCATACTTGGTGTCTGTCTCTGAAAGCAGAAGGCAGGCTGATGAAACCAGAGATAGAGGGTGGGTCCCTTCACCAGTCATCACTCAGCTTGCCCCTTTCTCACCTTCAGAGTCATCTCTGTGACCTTCTTGTGTCACAAACAGAAATATTCCCTGGGGTGGTGGGAATCCTGGGTCTCTGTGGGGTGCTGACAGACCCAAGGAAAGGACCCAGGAGAGGCCATTGCTGGGAGGGTGGATCACCTTCTCAGGGGACAAGCTATTGTCCCTTGCTGTTGAAAGTGTGCTCCACAGGCAAGTGTGATCAGCATCACCTGAGTGCTTATTAGATGCAGAGTCTTGAGGCCACTGCACACCTGCTGGGTCAAAATCTGCATTTTATTAGAACCTTTTGACTCTGAACAGGATAAGGGGAGAGGCTGCCCCACTTCCACAAAATGAGGGCTCAACCTGGCTGGGCATCCACAAACCTGAGCAGCTGCTAAAGTGGCATTTCTAAGGTGTTACCTGAACATTCACAATCTTTATCAACTTCCACCATTTATTCCAATGCACAGAGCGGGTGACATCCCTGTGACAAGAGTTCCTGGTCTAGCCTCTGGTTTCTCCTCTGAAGGGAAAAGCCAGAGGATGAGAGAGAGAGAAGGTGACTGTGCACCCCAACCCAGATATGTGGGGACAGCCCAGGGTATGACACCTCAGACTTGTTTTTACCCAAATAAGGGTGTCTCTGTGTGTATGTGTGCATGTGTGTGTGTGTAATGTGTACGTGTGGTGGGGAATCACTGCTGAAGAAGGCAGAGGAGTCAGAAGTTCCCTGGGAATAGAAATATAGATAGAAGGGAAAGAGAAAGAAGAGGAAAAGGGAGACAGGATTCATGGGAGGGAAGAAGAGGGTCCTCACCAGAGATGCCAGCCTGGCCCGTGTGACCCAGCAAGGTGCTTCTGCCCAGGAGGAGGCCAAGCACAGAGGGACAAATGACAGGAGAGCTGACACCTAGTGAGCAGTGGCACTTGTGAGCATATCTGGAGCAGAAGCTCTTCCCCTCACAGGAGGGACAGAGTAGACAGCAGCCACCATGCAATCCCCCTCAGCGCCTATCTACAGAAAAGCATGGGTGATAGGCTTCAGCAACAGGAAAATTTCATGGAGTCAGGAGGCCTGGGACAGGATGTCGGGGGAGGGGTGCAGAAGTCTCTCAATTGATGTACCTTTCCAAGTTAGTTATCACTGACCAATAATTTTTGAAAATTGATAATAATTTAAGGATGGCAGTGTAAATAAACTTAACTAGGGACACTAAATATTATCCTTTTTCGCCATCCTTAGGAATTGGCAAATAAACACCAGGATGTGGAGGACTCTCCACAGGTGTTTGCAGCCTGTTCCAGGCACTGGGGGAACAACAATTTCAGACGAGTCCCCTCCCTCAGGAGCTCGCATTCTGTGGGGATGAGGAGAGATAAGCAAAGAGATCTAGAATGTGATGTCAGGGGAGGACAAGTGCCATGAAGGGAACGGAGCAGGGAAAGTGAAGACAGAGGGCATTAGAGCAGGTGGCAGGGAGTCAGGGAATGCATCTCCCAAGGATGCCCCTGAGAGTGAGCAGGGTGCTGAGGGCAGAGAGGGAGTGACCAGGCAGATGCCTGTGGAAGAGTATTGGGAACAGAGGAACTAACAAGATGAGAGTGACTGAAGTAATGGTGGTCATGCTGCTGACCCTGACCAGTAGGAGACACAAACACAAGCACACACACTCCAAGGCTGCAAGATGAAGAAACTTGCTCAGAACCCAGTGCCTCATCTTTCAAACTCAATAGATGAGTCCAAATGTTCATTGATCTCTCTCTCTTCCCTCCTAGACTCACTCTTAACCTTCTGGAACCCCTCCACTACTGGCCCAGTCAGTATTGAATCAGTGCCCACCAATGCTGCTGAAGGAAAGGATGTTCTCCTAGTTGTCCACAATCTGCCTGGGAATCTTCTAGGCTGTGTCTGGTACAAAGGACATAGAGTAGATCCTGATCAATGAATTGCATTTTATGAAATAGACACACAAGAATTTAGCCCAGTGCTTGCACTCAGTGGTTGACAGACAATATACCCTGATCAATCCCTGCTATTCCAGAATGTCACCCAAGATTACACAGGATACTACACCTAAAAAGTCATACAGAAAAATTTTTAGGGTGAAGTAGGGTTTGAACAGCTCCACATATACCTTGAATGATTGCTCTCTGACCTTTGCATGTCTGACAGGATGAATTCTACTTCACTCACAGGATTGACAGGCCTGAACTATGTGTAAATCCACCTCTGCATTACATCCCACGTTGGGCGTTGTTAGTGCAGGACACGACAGTGGAGATGAACTTCAAAAGTTGGAATTCCTTTCTTGGAATCCAGACCCTGCAGATGTTCCCTGCAGAGAGAAGGACCAGTCTGACGGGAGAAACTTGGCAGAAGGAGATCAATCTCAGTCTAGCTCCATGGGCCCCTCCCTGGGGCCGTTATCCTGAAAAAGATCCTGTAAGTCTTGAGGATACCTGGGATCCTCACAGAGAAGCCCGTCCTAGGAAACCCCTGCCCAGATCCTGGTCCCAAAGCTCCTGACTCCAGTGACCCAGGCAAGCATACTCCGTGGTTGGATTTTGGTCTCCTGGGCAGCACTGACTGGAAGAAGTGATTTCCTGGCTGCCCAATTCCTGAAGTTCCTGAGCTGGCCACCAGCCAGGACTCAGTCCCAAGAGCCACATCTGGGCAGGGGCAGAGCCTGATGCTTGACCTGATACTTGGAATGGAGAGCACAGATGGACAAGGACCTGAGGCCATTAGCCACCTGCCCTGGGGGACTTAGGAGACTACATAGGAAAGTCATTGTCCCCAGGGGAGGAACAGAGGAGAGAAGATAATGCTATCAGCTCCTTGTCCTCCAGGGATCAGGCCCGGGGTCATTCTCTCTTGGAACTAAACAATAAGATATACCATTTATATGGGTAATTCCTCTCTAGCAAGATTCAGGTCAGGTATGTGAATTTTTTAAGGTTAATTTACCAAGAACCTGGCAGTCAAATATTTACCTTACTTCATGGACGGGAAACTTAGGCACAGAGAGATTAAAGTCACTGAAACAGAGTCACATAGACCATGAGTAGTATATCAGTTACATGAGGTCTGTCTGCAGCCATAGCCCCATCATCTCCCCAACCTGGGGGCCTTATTACATGTCTGTGGGCCCCAAGACCAGCTGTTAGTCCAGATCCTTTCTTCTTATGTGTCTGCAGCTCAGAGGGAGAGATTCTTGTCTGGGGAGTGACAACCAATTGAGAATTCATCAAAGTTTACTCTAGAGCTAAATAACCTGCATGAACAATCAGAGTCAGTGCAGGGAATGTCCAGGCTTCCCTGTCAGGTGGCCAATCAAAGCTCCCTCACTGGGGGAGGGGAAACCTTTTAGTGTCCTCACCATTCACCTGTCCACTCTCAACTCTGGGCAGAATCTCTCATCCATCTAGGATTTGATACTTAAATTACTGACCTGTATTTCTGTCCTTCCTCCGTCTCAACATTGAGACAGGTCCAAAAGGTGACTTCTGCTCATGATTTTGAGGGAAAAGTTCTGAAAAACAGCTGCTTTCACTCACCTTCAACAGACCTGCTCTTGAGTGCCATGATCACCACCCAAAAGGATTTGGACACTGTTTTTTTGTAGTTAGATGTTTTCCAACTCTTAGGGATAAATGTCGCTGTCTCCATGGGGATGACCAGTAGAAATGGAAAAGGAGAAATTGCGTTCCCAGAGATCTATAAGAAGGCATGAAAGCTTAAAATCCTCTGAAAGACCACATAAAATCCACATTCCTGTTCCGAAACATCGGTCCTGTTTGGCTTTCATCATTTCCTTAAGACATAATTAGAAAAAGTGACATTAATAATGAATTAGATGAATAAAACATACATCACAGTTACTCATAAAACTAAAATAGTTATTTGTTTTTCCTCTCAAAGAGCATCCAGTGTATTATGTTCATTTTCACCATGATGTAAGCGTGATCTTCTGTCAATAGGCTATCTACAATTTTGTGAGCTGGTAGAGATGACACTCCTTTTCTCTTTAAATCTCAAATACAAAACTAGAGGAGGTCCCTGGATGCTCTCCCATATCCAACCGTCTGGGATCAGCAGCAGGAGGGGCCAAGCCAATATCCCCTGGTCCTCAAAACAGAAGAGGTGCCCTGGGCTGTCCCTGTGCCCTGATGTTCCAGTGTCCCTGAAGCACAGATGACAGGATGTGGGGCCCACAGAGAGTCCCATGCTCTCTTTGTGGCTCTATCCTAACTAACATCAGAACTCTGAGCACTTTGCCTCTGCAGTGTCCACAGACAGCCTGAAGTTGTAGAAACTGAATGCCTACTTGAAAGCACTGGCCCCATGCTCAGTTCTCATGGGAAACTCCTGGGTACACCCAGACCATGCAACCATCTGCCAAGATGCCCTGAGACAGACACACAAGTCCTGGCAGGTGGTGGTCACTAAGGCTTGAAGGCACTTTCCCACTAGGTGGCCCAGATCCCATTACCTGGCCCTTCTCTTAGATGCTGGGAGAGTCATGTGAGGTGGTGGGTTTGGTCAGCTGCTCACTGAGAGCATCCAGACCCTGGTGCCAGGGAGGCAGTGCTGGGCTTTCAGGCAGTGCCAGGATGGGAGATGGAGGTTTGACAGGGAACATGCAGTGACAGCAGGAGCCATAGGCAGGGTGTGGGCCACCGGGATTAATCTCTGAGAGAGGAGGACGTCAGGACCTTTCCTTGTATCCAGAGGGGACTCTGAACAGAAGCTTCCACTTTAGAGGCAACGTCTTCAAGGATGAGACATAAACCAGGCTGGATATCCAGCCATCCCTGTCTGCATCCAGTAACAGATACATAATAAACACTCACTAAGGGGATGAGGGAAAAAGCACAATAGAAGCCTGTCATCCTCATGTGACACCTGGGGGTCAGAACATGTTCTGTGTAGACACAGGGGCACTGACATCAGCATGAGAGGAGGCCAACAAATTCTCATGGCTGTCCCAGGGATTGGTCTTCACACTTTTTAGAGTCAGGAAGGAGGACAGGGACCTCCTAACAGTGAAGGGTCAGATCCTGATTCATCCGAGAAAAATCACACCCCCTCTCCATCTCTACTTTGTGAATGATTTCTCCTCTCCCCCGTGGCCTGGGCCAGAAGCCCATGTACTTCCTATTCTCACAGAGAACTGATCTTGTACAAAATCTGGATTCTCCATTCCAGAATAAGTTACCTCCAGGGAAGTCATAGCCCTACTCTGATCACAAAGGAAGTCACTGGGTGACACCCCTTCCCCAGGGTTCCTGGTCTGTGGGGACACCTAGCTGTGCACCCATGAATATATCTCACCAGCCAAAAGTGTTGGATGAACAAAGGGAATTTCCCATGCAGGATGGGACAGGGAAACCAGGATATGTTTGCTTCTATCTCAAAGGGGCTGAGGGTTCCACAGGGGCCTCTCCTCCTGAAAGAAAGGAATCCACAGGATCCCCTTTCTGAGTCTCCACATGGAGCTAGTCCACATCATGGGCTCTGTGAGGAGACCCAGAGCAGATGACAGACAGAGACAAAATGACTCTGATGCAATGCCCTAATGTTGCAATAGGAGAAACACAGCCCATTGTGGGGACCAGCACCCCAGGCCCTGAGATGTCAAGAGATCACTCACTGGGCCTTCCTTTTGAAAGCTTGGGGTAAGAGACCTCCTCCTGAAGCAGCACATCCATGAGGCAACACAAGACACTGGGTCAGGAATCCACTGGACATTGCCTGTCCTTTTCCTGGACTGCCCCTAAACTGAGATGGACTCAGGTAGCCCGAGACTTGCAGTGACAGAACCTGTGCTGACAGGCCCCTGCAGCCTAGAGGCCAGAGACCACCTCTGCCCAAGGCTCAGGGCAGGTTCACATCCTATGTAGCCTGGTCAGCATCCCTTGTTCAGCCCCTGACATTGGCTCTGGGTCTCCTCAAGCCCTCCAGGGAGCAAAATTCAGACTCACAGACAAGTTGTAGGAAAATAACTCATAAATATGGCTTTGGCTAAGGGGGTGAAAAAGGAGCCTGATTTCCATCCCGCGGTCCAACAGACCCTTCTGAGTCCTTCCTACCTGCCTGGAATATCCTGCTCACTCCTCTAAGGTCCTCAGACCACCCTACTCTGTCAGGGATCCCACCCATAAGAAAGGCAGGGTGATCACAGGAAGATCAGCCAGGCAGAGGACAGAGGCCCCCAGGATGGTCAGGGAGCACATGGACAGGCTTTGAGCCACAGCTCAGCCAACACACATGGAGAAGGGGGTGGTCTCCCTGAAAACTTCCCCTGAGGACCAGGGAGCCCACAGCTACCCGACCTCCAACCACCATTATCATCTCACGCAGGACATGCAGGAAACCTCCCCATTCACATCCAGGAACTGGAGCTACTTCTGAGACACCCATATTTGGTGACTATAACTGGAAGCAGAGGCCAGGCTTGTGACACTAAAAGATGTAGGGTGAGTCACCTCACCAGTCATCACTTAGCTTGCCCCTTTCTCATCCCCAGAGTCACCTCTGTGACCTTCCTGCTGGAGTAAATCTAACCTTCCCAGAGCATTTGAAGACACTGGGGACACCCTGGTGCCCAACTGGGTTTCTGCGTCACAAACAGAAATAATACCCCAGATTTGAGGACCCCGGGTCTCTGTATAGTGCTGACAGACCCTAAGGCCAGGATATAGCAGAGGCTAATGCCGGGGGGAGGGTTGCTTGTCCACTGAGGGGACAGGGATCCCCATCAACCTTGCTATTGAAAGTGCCTTCCACAGGCCAGTGTGATCAGCATCATCTGAGAGCTTGTTAGATGCAGACTCTCAGGCCCACCTCACACCTGCAGGGTCAGAATCTGCATCTTAACAGAATCTTCTGAGTCTGAACAGGAAAACGGGAGAAGCAGCTCAACCCCAACGAGTGGGGGCTCAACCTGGCAAGATATCCACAATCCTGGGCAGCTGCTAAAGTGGTATTTCTAAGGTGTCACCTGGAAAGTCACAATCTTTATAAAGTTCCAAAGGTGATTCCAATGCACAGAGCCAGTGACATCCTTTTGACAAGAGTCTCCGGTAGCCCCCAGGTTCCTACTCTGAAGGGAAAAGCCAGAAGGGGATGAGAGAGAGGGAGGGTGACTATGCACTTCGATCAAGAGCTGTGGGACAGCCCAGGACACGATGGCCAGACTTTCGCTTGTCCAAACAAGAGTTTATGCGTGTGTGTGTGTCTGCATGTGGCAGGGACTCACTATTGAAGAAGGCGGAGGAGTCAGCAGTTCGGAAATATAGATAGAAGGGAAAGAGAAGAAGAGGAACAAGGGAGGCAGGAGTGAGAGGAGGGAGGAGCAAGGTCCTTGGCAGAGGCCCCGCCCTGGCCCATGTGACCCGCCAAATTGCTCCTGCCCCAGAAGCAGGCCGAGCACAGAGGAGGGAAGGACAGCAGAGTTGACCCCTTGGGAGCAGCAGCACTCGTGAGTTTTCTGGAGCCCAAGCTCTTCTCACAGAGGGGAGGACAGAGCAAACAGCAGCCACCATGCAATCATCCTCAACTCCTGCCCACAGAGGGTGTGTCACCTGGCAGGGGCGCCTGCTGGCAGGTGAGAGGGGAGGATTCCCTGAGGGTGGGCTGCAGATGGGAGAACACAGACTGCTGGGGTCTCCTAGGGAGGAGAGGGATCTCGGAGGGGATAGAGGACTTCTGTTTGGAGCTGAAGGGGGAAGACATGGGAGCAGAGTAGGATGCAGGAATGGGAGGGGGGGCGTCAGCAACAGGAAAATTTCATGATCTGGAAGTGGTGAGGGGCAGGAATATCTCAGTTTCTCTACCTTTCCAAGTTAGTTATCACTGACCAATATTTTTTGAAAATTGATGATAATTTATTTGAGGATGATACCAGAAAAAAACTTAACTAGGGATGCTTAACATTGTCCTTACACACTACCCTTTAGAAATTGACAAATAAACACCAGGATGTGAAGGGCCCTGGGAACACTCATTCATTCATCCACACGTGTTTGCAGCCTGTTCAAGCTACTGGAGGTACAACAAGATCAGACAGGTCCCTGCCCTCAGGAACTTACATTCTGTGGGGATGAGGAGAGATAAGCAGAGATCTAGAATGTGATGTCAGGGACTGACATTGTCATGAAGGGAACAGAACAGGGAAAGGTCAGAAAGTAAAAATAGAGGGTCTTTAGAGCAGGAGTTCAGAGAAGGCATCTCCCAAGGATGCCCCTGAGAGTGAGCAGGGTACTGTGGGCAGTTGGGAAGTGAGCCAGGCAGACATCTGGGGAAGACTATTGGGAACAAGGGAAATAACAAGTTCAGAGGGGCTGAAGCAATGAAGTCATGCTGCTGAACTTGATCAGCTGGAGACACACACACGCACTCCAAGTCTAAGAGATGAAGAGACCTGCTCAGGACCCAGTGCCTCATCTTTCCATCTCAATACATAGGTTCAAATGTTGATTAATCTCTCTCTCTTCCCTCCTAGTCCTGCTCCTAACCTTCTGGAACCTGCACATCGCTGCTCAACTCACCGTTGAATCAGTCCCACCCAATGGTATCCAAGGCAAGGATATTCTTCTCCTTGTTTCCAATCTGCCTGCCAATCGTTTAGGCTATGTTTGGTACAAAGGGGACAGAGTAGAGCCCAAACTTCAAATTGTATCATATATAATAAACACATCAGAAATTACCCCAGGGACTGTGTACAGTGGTCGAGAGAAAATCTATGCTGATGGATCTCTGCTGTTCCAGAACGCCACCCCGGGGGACACAGGATATTACACCCTTCAAGTCATAAAGAGAACTTTGCTAACTGAAGTAGGAACTGGACAGCTCCATGTATATAGTGAGTGATTCCTCTCTGACCTCTGGGCATTGGGTGGGGTGAATTCTACTTCACACACAGATTGACAGGCCGGGACTGTGCCTACATTCCCCTCTGCATGGCATTCCATGATGGGAATTGAGCATTTAGTTCAGGACACACACAGTTGAGGTAAAGCTCAAAATATTGGAGTTCCTTTCGTGGAATCTGGACCCTGAAGACATCCTTGCAGAGAGAAGGACTAGTTTGATGGGAGTAACTTAGTAGAAGGACATCAGTCTCAGTCCAGCCACCTGGGCCCCTCCCTCAGTGGGCAATGACCCTAGGAAAGATCCTGCAAGGCCTGAGTATCCCTGGAATCCTCACAGAGCTCAGCCCAGGAAGCTCTTGCCCAATCCCTTGCCCCAGGGCTCCTGATTCTACTCACCTTGGGTAGCCTGTGCCAGGGTTGGGTTTTGGCCTCCTTGGCATGACTGACTGGGAGCAATGATTCCTTGGCTGCCTGGGTCCCAAGGCTCCTGAGCTGTTCACCAGCCAGGGCTCAGCCCCAAGAGCCACACGTGGGCAGGGACAGAGCCTGATCCTTCATGTGGGACTCAGCATGGATAGTACAGAGGGAAAATGTCCCCAGGCCATTAGCCAATAGCCCTGGGGGACTTAAGATATTAAAGGGGAAAGTCAGTGCCCCTCTGGAGAGAAGATGCTGCTGGCATCTCCTCATCCACTGAGGATCAGGCCCAGGGTCATTCTCTCAGGATCAAACAATAACAGATGACATTTATTTGGGCAGCTTCTGCCTACCAAGATTTGTCCGGCACTATGAATTTTTAAGGTTAATTCACTGACAACCTGGCAGCCATATATTTATCCTACTTCATTGATAGGAAATTGAGGCACAGGGAGGTATATTCAATGAACCAGGGCCACACAGACTATGAGAGGCAGATCAGTCACATGAGGTCCGTCCGCAGCCACAGCCCCATCCTCTCCTCCATCTGTGGGCCTTATCAGGTGTTTTTGACCCCAAGACCAGCTGTCACTTCAGATCCTTTCTTCTTAGGTGTTCCCAGCTCAGAGGGAGAGATTCTGGTCCAGGAAGTGAAAGCTAGTGGAGATTTCATCCAAGTTTACTTTAGAACAAAATTACCTGCATCAACATTTGGATTCAGTGCGGGGAATGCCCAAGCAGTCCTCTGAAGTGAGCAATCCACAACTCCATGCACTGGACTTGAAATCACTTATTTGTTTCCTGATGTGTTGGTGTCACTCCCACTGGGGTATAAATGAAAGGACTTGGCCATCTCACTCCCCACTCTATACCTGCAGCCAGCACAGGGCCTGGGTGTAATGAACTCTCAATTGTTTTTGATGAAGGAGGAAGAAATGAGTGGTGAATGAATGAATGAATAATCCAAATTCTCTTCAGACACTAGAACCTTGATGCAGAGTACTTGGAATTCAGGTCACATGAGACAGCCTCTCTGACCATCCAGGGGCTGAGGCCCATGTCAGACCTTTTATTGCTCTTGAGAGAAATATTCCTTCCTGCAATTAATGTGAGACCCCATAATATTAACCATAATTTTCTCATTTGGAATAATTAAGCATCTCCTCAAATTTTTATCTCATAACCACCAAACACAGATGGTCCATGAGGGCCAGATTTGCAGCAAGTTGAGGCTCACCACTTTCCAACAGTCACCCCTTCTGCATTTGCACATGTCCACACCTGCCCTCAGCAGAGACAGAAGAGACATTTAAGACTAAGGGCAGAGATCAGGTTCTTCTGGCATCCTGCCTGTCCCCCTCACTCTTCTCCTGATCATATCTTGGACTTTCTGTGTCATTTATTGGGTAACTGGCTCATGTCAGTCACAATCACCTGGGAAGATCTGATCCACATCTTCGCCCTGAGGCCTGAGTTCTCACCTGACTGTTCAGCTTGCTCCTAGTCCTCACACATTACTGATGCTCAAACCCCAGATCCAACATTACCCATTTCTAGGAGGACCTTAAAATGGTGCCTCAGACAAAATGCACCTCACTGGGTGATGGAGGGGTGTGCAGTGGGAAGGAATCACCCTTGGTTGGCCAGGCAGTCAGCTGGTCATGGAAGAACCAGGAGAGGAATGAAGGACAAGACTGTGGCAGAGGGAGTCTCTGACTCTCCCCCTGTGTCTTTTCAAGACCAAATCCTGCTAACACGTTGACACTTCAGAAAGTCTGTGCATTCTCCCAGGCACAGAGCAGGTGGCCTTACATTCTCTGAGTGCTCTGATCCTCATACATTTGTCTCGAGATACACAAACCTGTCTTCCTCTTTTAAGGACTCAGGTTGTCTGAGAGGTGAAAGAAGCCAGCTCTGAGCTGTGCATTTTTCAATCAAATTATTTGATTTTGTGGTTGTTGAGTTTAGGCACTATTTGTATGTTCTAGATACTGATGCCTTATTAATACATAATTTGCAAATAATTTTCTCCTATTCCATAGGACACTTTCACTCTGTTGTTTGTTTCCTTTAATGAACTGAAGTTCCCTCATTTTGACAAAGTCCAGTTTATCTACTGTTTTTCCCATTTTGTTCTGTGTTCTTTGTGTCATATTCAAGAAATCATTGCCAAATGCAGTGTCATGAAGATTTCCTCCTATACTTTCTACCTAGAATTTTATAGTTTTAGGTCTTACTTTAGGATTGGATCCATTTTGTGTTAATTTTTGTATATTGTGGAAGGCAATGGTCTGACTTCACTCTTCTGCATGTTGATATCCAGTTTTCCAACACTAATTGTTGAAAAGACTGTCCTTTCTCCATTGAATCATCTTGGCTCCTTGCTTGAAATCATCTGATCACATAGTCTAGGCTTTATTTCTGGATCTCTGTTGTATTCCATGGCCTATAAGCCTGTCTTTATACCAGTGCCACACTATTTTGATTCTCCATATCTGCAGTAATTTTTGGGAAGTGTGAGTCGTTCAATTTTGTTCTCCTTTTTAAATATTGTTTCAAATGTTCAGTGTTCCTTGAATATTAACTTGGATTTTTCTATTTCTGCAAAAATTTCATTGGGTTTTTTTTGCTAGGGATTGTATCAAATATGTAGATAGTTTGGCATATATTGACATCTTAACAAAAATAATTCTTCCCATCCATGAACATGGATATCTTTCCATTATTTGTGTCTTCTTTAATTTCTCTCAGAATGTTTGGTAGTTTTCAGCGTAGATATCTTTTACCTCCATGGTTAAGTTTATCCCTAAGAATTTTATTCTTCTTGATGCTATTGTAAATGGAATTGTTTAATTCATTTCCTTTTGGATTGTTCATTGTTATTATACATAAATGTAAGTGATTTTGAGTGTTGATTTTGTCTCCTGCAACTTTGCTGAATTTGTTTATTAGTTATAACAGTGTTTTTTGTGTGTGTAGGTGAAATCTTTAGGGTTTTCTACATATAAGAATATGTCTTCTGCTAAAAGAGACAATTTTGTTTCTTTCTTTCCAATTTAGATGCCTTTTATTTTTTCTTCTTGCCTCATTGTTCTTGCTAGGACTCCTCTACTGTGCTGAATAGTTATGGTGAAAGCAGGATCTTTGTCTCGTTCATGATCTTAGAGGAAAGTTTTGAGTGTTTCACCATTGAGTATGATGTTAGCTGTGGGCTTTTCATGTATAATACTTGTCATATTGAGTAATTTCCATCTAATACTAACAGTCCCTGTCTTTTGTTAAAACCCTAACCATTTCTCTCTAGAGATTTCCTTCACTTTCATATTCAATCCAAAGGCCAGGAAGTAAAAGTCCTCTTCAGAGAGGGAAATCCTTTAGCTTAGAAGCTCTTCAGGTCCTACGTTTGTGAAGCCTGGACAGTTCTATCCTCATTCCCTATTAAATTATTTAACAAGAAGAAAATGCCTTCCTACTTTATGTAACATTCCCTTGGCCCTAGAGATGGACAGGGCTGTCAAGCTTGCCTTCCTCAACATAATAGGTGTGTACATAGGGAACATGGCCTGATCTTTTCTGAAGTCAAAGAAAGTTCTAGGAAAAGATCAGTGCAAGTTCATGACGGAAAAATTCTACCTTATGATGAAGTTGTACAACACGTGGGATGAGATGAGGGTCCTTGTGCTGATACTACAGAGATGTCCAGCGGGACTGATCGGGGTCAACCTGAGGTGATCTAGAGATCAAAGGGAGAAATGCAACCCTTTCCTTAAAGACCATCCGCTGAACAAAGACACTTGTTCTACAGTGGGGGTCTGGTGCATCCTCTGGGTCACCTTTACAGAGTGGCTGAGATCTCTGAGGAAGGAGCTTGGCCCAGGCCTCATGCCCACTCTCAGTCAGTCATCTCCTCTGTTTCTCCACAGAGCCAGTGTCAAAGCCCTCCATCTGAGTCAGCATAGGACATAAGGACCCCAATCAAGGAAAATAAGAACCCCATGGTCCTGACCTGCTTCACAAACAACACCAGGATCTCCATCCAGTGGTTCTTCAATGACCAAAGTCTGCTGCTCACTGAGAGGATGAAGCTGTCCCAGGACAACAGCACCCTCACCATAGACTCCCACAGAAGGGGCAATACTTGGGATTATCAGTGTGAGTTCTCCAACCTGATCAGTTCCAGTAAAGGTTACCTCCTGGATAACCTTTAAAGCTGGATGTGAAATATGAGTCTGGCCCTCTGGCTCTTACCCTCTTCTATGTTATTAAACTCTGAAAAGATTTTTTTTTCTTATCTGTAAAATGATGGTTCTGATGCTATTTTTCATTAGAGTTGTTATGAATAGTCAATTAAAAAGATGAAAATTCCTTAGAAGATTTGCATTGAGTCAATAAATGCTCAACAATGTGAATTGACATTGTCATTATTGTTTGTTTAAGGTCACATTCAACTCCAGATCCCAGCTATTGTTGTCCTCAGTTGCACCATATCCACAATCAAAGGATGGGCAGTGGCTTTGCAACGAGGGTGGGAGCCCATGATGAGCTCTCAGGAATCTCACCTCTATTCCTCATCCAGGGGAAGGAGTAGATGACACCTGGACTGTGACACGGACAATTGGAATAGACAAGAGCACATTCATGTGGGTGGTAACACTGATCTTTTCCTCCCCATCTCATTCCTCTCAAAGAATTCCTAAAGTCTTCTTGAGTACCATTATTTTCATGGCAATAGAGTTATTTGCATAGTTTCAGGAAGACTCTATCCTCCTTGTTACTAGAATATCATTGGAAATATTGCTGGGACAACCACGTCTTTTACTCAAATGTCCTAGCTGAGAATGATGCCCATGGGTTCAGGTATGACCTACAGTTTAAGGAGCTAAGGTTCACTTCATAGGTATTTTGGGAATCTGGGGAAGAGAGGACATCACTCAAATCTATAAAGGCTGCAGATGAGTCCTGATGTCTAGGCTTCCTAACATCAAGAGGCTGTTAAAAGTCCCATCTGAGTTTCCCTAGGAAAACCTCATCAGAGGAAACTATGTGGCGAGTGCAATCTTGCTGCACCTGTGTAAATAATCAGGAAAAATTGAGTGAGAGCAGCCTTGTTTTGGGATCAAGAACACTCTCCCTTGGAGATGATTTTTGTCCAAAAGGGAAGTGATTGTTGGAGAAATGTGTTTCTATGGAAAAGTCCAGCAAGCACAGGTTTCTGATGATCAGATTCTGGCCCTGTTCATTGCCTCTCAGCTATATTGCACCTCTTTATAAATTTCAGGGAGCTGATGGAGATGCAGATTGGGTCTTGGCTGATAGAAATGTGATTGTATTTCCCTCCCTCTGTGCAGAGAGCAGTTTTGTCATGACCTAGAGGCCTAATGTTCCCTCAGACTCACTCAACTTTAGACAGTTCTTCTTGACTGTAGGCCCCTGACCTCCATTTTCTCAGAGCATTTTCTTAAGAATTCTAATTGCAATCTGTCATTGCAGATTCTTTCTCTTCCCTTTTGAAATGTATATAAGTCCCCTTAAAATTTTCTTGCATTTTAGGATCCAGGGAGTTTCTTTCTCAAGGACCTTGGCCCATCCCTTTGAAATGCAATCCTCCTGGATGATCCTGGCCCTGCCTCCCAGACTCTGAGGGAGGGCAGGAGCCTAACTTCAATGGGTCCCTTTACAACTAGGGTGTAAAACTACCTCCTGCTCAGGATTTTAGGAGAAGTTTTACTTTTCTACTAAGTCTGATTAGGAAACACAAGTGGTCTACAATTCCCTATACCCACTCTTAAAATCTCTCCAGCCTTTTGTTTTAGGGGTTTAGTTCAGTTTCTCTTTACCTGTTCCACTGGTCTTGACTAAGTCTTTCTGCCTCTTTAACTTTGTTCAGTTTAACTTTTACTTTGACGTTACCTACCTGTAATTAGCTGATCCTGTCATCTTGCTCACAATGTCAGTGCTCACCATATTTTCAAATCCTTGGATTTCTTTCCTCTTCTGGCTTTTATCCTCCAAATGAACATTTCCAATTTCCTCCCTCCTTGCTTTCTTGGTGTCCACAGCAGGAGATGATCTGACTGCCCAGATGCTTCTGGGATCCCAGGTTGCCTCCTACCTGGCCTTTGTCCTTAGCATCTGAGAAGCACTGTGAGCTAAAGTTCAGTGACTTGACAGAGACATGGAAGGTGCCCCTCTGAAGTAACCCTGACCTCAACAGTGTCCTCATTCCACACACATTTTCACCTTACCTTCAAGGAACAGTATCATGCAAATTTTTAAAGATATTTTGTCATAAAACTCAACAACTCCAGTGGACAAGCAGGTCCCTGCCATGTCAGCCACCCATGTGTCCACACACGACCATTCTATTGGGGGCCCTCCTCAGCCTCAGGCTCAGGCCAGATTTCTGTGTCCTCATTCTTTGCTTTCTTTCTTATTTTCACAAACTCCACTTGCCTATTCTAAGAAGAATCCAAAAACAGAACTTGGAAAATGGTAAATTGAATCTATCCTCTGGTTATGTCTCCTTTTCTGCTAGTTTTGGGCTCTGGGGTATTTGGTTGAGTCCTTAGAGATCCAGTGGTGAGGTGGAGTGTGGGAAAACCGAGGTGGTGTGGAGAGATGGGATCTCTACAGAGTCTGAATGAGAAATAGTAAACCCCAGGTGGGGTTTGGGGTGTTATGCATGACTTGGGATCTAGTGGGGCCATGCAATGGGCTCTTTTGGGGGCGCTCCAGATGGGGCTGAGAATTCTGAGTGAGAGATTGACAACCCTGTTGAGGGAAGAGCAACTGGAAGTGGTGCAGTGAAGTTGGGGGGGTCATCCTTACAGCCTTGGGTGGGTGTGAGGGGCGAGACATAGAGTTGGGGGAAATGATTGGATTCTTGAAAACTCAGATTAGTTCCCTGACACTGGGGACATGAGGGAGCATGTAATGTACAGGCTGAAGGTGACATATTACAGGAGACAAAGGGGAGAGGGAGATGAGCATCAAGTAGGGGCTAGGAAATTAGAGAGGAATGAGTAATTGGAGGATGGAGGACACCATGAACACAGAAGATTTGAGCTGAGGGCATTTAGGGAATCAAGTCAGGAAGAAAGTTTGAGCATGGGGTAGCCAGACTGGAAAAGGGATCTGAGATGGAGCCTTGGCAAAGGTGGAGAATGCAAGACAGGGGTGGCAGTGAGGATCAAATTGAGGGCCAGAGTTTTCCAGTCTCCAGTGCTAACCAGTTGTGACAGCTGCAGGTTGTTCTTAAAGCCTGGGAGTGCTGTAGAAATGCCAGCTCTAACATGTGTACCCAGAGACCTACTTCAGCTGAGTCAGCAAGTTAGCCATGTTCCCAGGGGATTTCTGTGTGAGTGAGTAAGGCTGAATATGAGCCTGGGGAGAGGCATGGCAGGGCAAATATGGGGATTGGCATTGGGGCCAGAATGAAGCTGGAGTGTGTGGAGACTTTTCCTTCTTTCTTGACTAGTTAGAGTGAACTTCCCATGTGTGACAGGTGTCAGTGAGGAGTGGTAGGTCCTATGATAGACTGGGCACCTGTCCTCATCAACTCCAGTTATGTACCTCTTCTGTTTGTGATGCCTCAGCTCTCCCTACAGGATCTTATGTTGGTGGATTTGATAGAACCCAGGTCACGATGAGGAGTTCTGCTTCCCTGGTCACATTCCATCCCATGTTCAAACAGTCTGTCTCTCCTGAGGACTAGGAGCAGGTCAGGAGCTCTTTTTCTATTGCTGTAGAATGCGTAGCCTTGCTCAGAACCCACGAGTCTGCATGGACCTCTCTTATTAGGCCCTGCCAAAAGCTCCACAAAGCACCTTTCTTTCTTCTAACATGGATTGGTTGGAGGTACACAAACAGTAACATTTTCTCTACTCTTCAGAGTATGTCCAGTATGCCCCAGACTAATGAAGCCCTAAGACCTTCATAGATGTAGCAGATCCCTGAAGGGTCCCAGATTTGGATGACCCTACAGTCCATGGAACTCTCATAGTTTGATTAAATTATTGATTACTAGAGCTGATCCTGTCACTGATGTCATTGTCAACACTGATGTCATTGTGTTCTATCATCAATATCAGCTGGTATCCTCTTCCACTTTATGGAGCCCACATGTCATACTAAGGCATTCAGACTACTTGCTATTTCTTGTTCATCTTTAGTGGGAAAGCTTCTATTTCTCACCTTTAGGTATGATATGAGCTGTAGGTTTATAGGTTTTTTATGACTTGAGTTTGGCTTATAATTGACTTGGAGGATGAATACATCCATTTTCTCTGCTAGGCAGGGTGAGCTTTGGGGGCTCACAATCTGTGCAATCACTTAGAAGGGCCTGTGGTAGGTTTAACACTCTGATTTCCCCATATTGAAGTTCTTTCTTTTTTTTTTAAGATTGGCACCTGAGCTAACACCTGTTCCCAATCTTCCTTTTTTTTCTTCTTCTTCTCCCCAAAGCCCCCCAGTGCATAGTTGTATATTCTAGTTGTGCGTCCTTCCAGTTGTTGCATGTGGGACACCGCCTCAACATGGCTTCATGAGAGATGCCATGTCTGTACCCAGGATCCGAACTGGCAAAACCCTGGGCCGCTGAAGCAGAGATTGTGAACTTAATCACTCAGCCACAGGGCCAGCCCGGCCATCTTGAAATTCTTAATGGTTTTGAACAAAGGGTCCCTATTTTCACTTTACACTGACTCCTTCAGTTTACGTAGCTAGTTCTGCCCCTGGGAGTGACCATGGGTGGGTGGGCTCCCTTTTGAACAGAAAAGGTGGACCCTAAGGGAGGTGCACTTTAAAATTTGGGCCCCAGGGGGCAGCACCAACACAGGGTAACCTGGAGGGTGTGAAGAGAGATGTGGAGAAGTTTGCCTTTTTCTACTCTGTTTGTGTCATTATAAGTCTCTAACTGCCCCCTCCCCTGCCATCCCCCACCTCTGTAGTTCACAGACGGAGGGTTCTCCAGGTCTGATGTACTTCAGAGATCCAAATTTTGGACTCCACAATCCAAGAGGGGGAAGGAAAGAAGAAATCATGGCTTGTTGGCTCAAATATGAAGAGCATTAAAGAAACATAATAAAGTCCACCCTGAATGTTGGTCTTAGGAAAACACTTGAGAGATGGGGATAGGAAGGGCATGTGTTATGGTGATAAGGAAGAAAGGAGCTGGGTCCTCATCTTCCAGGAGGGATGAACTTAGATAACATCTGAAAGTGAATATCAGTAAGTAGCCTCACAGCATGTTGTTCAGAGATGACTTTCGTTCCATCCAGAGGAGCTGCTGCTGTTTGGGGCAGATCTCCTCAGTGTGGCCCAGACAGGAGAAGCCAGGACCTTCCTGTGATCACTATGAACAGAACATCTCAAGACTCTGGGTTTACCATGGCCGAGTCCAGTGTTGTCA